AGGGGGAAGGGGGAGATTAGGATGCCGGTACATACCAATAATGTAGGTATCCCTTCCAGAGGAAGTAATTCTGAGTATGACATGCTCAAATGACAAGTCCAATTTTAATTCACTACTAAAACATAAGAACGCAAGAGGTTTTCTTACAAGGGCGGCAATACCCCTCTTACATGTTGTTAAAAATAGGGATTTCTCCCTAAACGTAGGGAATTTATACTACAAAAAGGGAGTAGGGAATTTTTAGTTAAAAAGGCCCAAAATGTAGCGATTTTTAAAATCATTGTAGTGCCATATGTTCTGTGGTGCCATAAGTCCATAACATCGTTAGTCGTGAGTGTCGTGACAACTACGTTGTAATCGCTCTAAAAGTTTAATGTGTTTAAAAACTTCGATATTTGCTATAGAGATCACAATTTGTTTGTGTATCAGTAAATAATTTCGCAGCAGTTGCAGTGTCATTCATTCGACTCGTAGTAGTCGTAGTATACATACGTTCTAATTGTATTCATGTTCTTTATCTGCACCTATTTACATTAATGACATTGCCTATATTTATATTTTGAATGAATAAAAAAAATGTGAGTATTATTGAAATTCAGATTTTCAATGTGTTTTTGCGTTAAATAATCGTTTTAATAAAATTTAAACATAATAAATGTAAAAATCGTATGGATTCTATATGTAATTTAGGAATTAAACAACTTTCAGATTGAAACAAAGTGTCGAAAGTTTGGAAGAACTGGCCACTGGGAAGAACATATTGTGTGTCACTCGACATTACACTCATCGCACACATCACACTCTAAACATATCAATTCTTAACCTTAACGTGCTCGTAATTTCACTCATTCAACTTCGAGTTGAAAAAAACGGATATAACCTAACCATAAAAGCTATAGTTTTCCTTCGTCATTTTTTGCTTGAATTTATGCGTATATGTAAGTAATTGTATAATGTATATGCCATTATGATATATATTAAAAGCTTTTTATTTTTTTAATTTTACATAACTTTTTTTACAATAAAGATATCGAATGAAGCTCGAAAGCTATGGATTCCGATGATAATGGCCCTGAAACACCCAAGAAGAAGAGAGCTCCTAATAATTCTTGGCGAAAACAAGCATTTACTACGGCTTGGTTACAAATTCCAGAGTTCAGTGGTTGGTTGACTCCATGCGATGACGATAAATATAAAGCCAAATGTAAAGCGTGCAATAAAATTTTAGTAGCAGGCCGAAGCGATTTAAAGAAACATGCAGACACATCAATACACAAGAAACATGTAAAGAACAAACAAACAAATTTAAACATTCAAACGTTTGTACAAAAACCAATAGAACATGATGTGATAACTGCCGAGCTTCGATATGCACTTCTTGCAGTTGAACATAATCTTAGTTTTAAAGCGTTAGAAGGTATTATTACAACTACAAAAAGTATTTTCAATGATAGTAAGATTTCTAGCTGTATTAAAATGAAAAGACTAAAATGTACAAATTTAATTAACTATTTACTGGCTAATGATATTAAAATTCAATGTGATGAAGAGTTAAAAGATAATGTTTTTTCTATATTAATAGACGAAAGCACTGATTCAAGCAATGACAAAAACCTGTGCATACTAGTCAGATATTATAAAAATGGTAAGTGCATTACGCACTTATTAGATTTAATAAAAATGCTCGCAGATGGAGGTATTGCAGAAAATATGTACAAAACATTTGTTGAATGTTTAAAAAGTCACAATTTAAGTATTAATAATATTGTAGGCTATTGTAGCGACAATGCTAACGTAATGATGGGAAAAATGAATTCTTTTCAATCCCGTTTAATTAAAGATAACCCTAATATATTTATATTAGGATGTATTTGTCATTCTGCGCATTTAATCGCAAGTCATGCTGCAGATGAGTTACCTAAAAACGTAGAAAGCTTAATGCATTCTCTATATTCATATTTTTCACGAAGTCCAAAACGACAAGCAATCTTAGAAGAAATACAACTTGTTATGAAACAAGAAAAACATCGAATGATTAATCCCAGCAAAACAAGATGGTTAGCCCTTCGAAAATCTGTAAACAGAATTTTAGAACAGTGGACTGTTTTGCAGCAAACATTTTTACTTGCCGGCATTGAAGACAAAAATCCAATGGCTGATTTATTATTAAAAGAACTAAATAATCCTTATACTAAAGCCTACTTTGAGTTCATGCAATATGTTCTTCCATGTGTCCAAACTTTCGACACTTTGTTTCAATCTGAAAGTTGTTTAATTCGATCCTAACTTATATACGGAATCTATACGATTCCTACGTTTATTATGTTCAAACTTTATTAAACCCGATTATTTAATGCAAGAACATATTGAAAATCTGAATTTAAATAATACTCACATTTTTTTACCCATTGAAAATATGAATATTGGCAATGCAGCAAAGATGACTCTTTCATTATTAGAAGATGATGTTAATAATCATTCAAACATTTTGCTAGTTTAAACTAAGATGTTTAAGATTTTACAAAACTGCTGCAGAACAAGCTATTAAACGTTTGCCCTTAA